ATCTGTTTAAACACGTAATATTTCTACTAGAGATAAATTTGATTTGTGATGAGAAAAAAACTCGTGTTTATAAAACTGGAATATACAAAATGGAATAATTGAACTTGAAATAAATTTTGATGAACTATTGCTAGCTTGGCCAGGCAAACTAGATGTTACTGCAGCTAACATTTGTGTCAGAACCCATGTAACTCATTTCCCTGTTTAAAAATGTAGGGGTTTTGAAAGTAAATCATGTTCTGTTCTCCATGCTCACAGTATGGTTCTTTGAAGAGAACTAACACCCACCTGTAGGGGAAGAAGCATTTTTTTAAGGGGGGAGTATATATGTTGAAAGAGTTCAGGACACCCTCTTTCTGTTTGCATGCTTGCTTGTTTTAAATTGTACACTTCTTCACTCTAGGAAATTCATACAACCCATACTTTTGCCATCATAATTCCCTTATAAAGGTGCATATCCACTTTAAATCCATAGCTACATTGTTAAGTTCTTTGTTTGTGATGCAGTTAATAACAGTCAACATTTCAATATGAAATAATAGATAATTCTATGGAGTTTCCTAATTGTGTTTTTAGCCGTATGAGTAACAATTTTACTGTACCTTGTTAAAGGTTCCTCCTTGTGATATCATCTAGTATTAAGACTAGGTGTCCTAAAAGTAAGATGCCTCTTTCATATTAGGGGTAAGAACCAGAAAATTTGACCTGCAGAAGTTGATAGTCCATGCCTGAGGAAATTTTTGGATTTTATTTTTCAAGACCTGTTCTTTCTCTTCATTAATTTAATTGCAGAACTGTAATCAAATTGTAACTATATCTCTTCAGTTCTATAGAGTTGAAGTTGTTTCTCACGTTTGATTGACTCTTTGTAGTTTTTTTGCATGCACCACACTGCACAATTCAGTAGTTCTGTTATTGTGGCATTTTGTAGCATGGAGTGAAGCATATTGAAGAGAAAGGAATTCATAAAGGCAGCCCTGTTTAGGGAAGCTTTTAATGTTTGATGTATTATAGTATTTTAATATTTTTTTGGAAGCCGCCCAAATGGGCGGAGTATAAATAATAAATTATTATTATTGTTATTATTATTATTATTATTATCATCATCATCATCATCATCAAAAGATGAGCTGTGTTTGAATAGAATGTTGGGATGAAGTGGAAGTCCTACATTCTCTCATTACCACACTGGAAGGCATTGCTGTGGATTCTGATTTCACAAAAAGCCTGACTCTTGATGTACATTTGGCTACTGATATCAGCAAATACTATTGAATGGGACACAGAACACCTGTTAAAACATTTCTCTTTTTCAGCCGGCCCTCTGTTTTTCTCATATAGTATTTAGAAACTTCTGCTAAGTGGTGGCAGTCTAGACTTCTGTTTGGTATTCCCACACAGATTATGTTCTTAATTGTGGTGAGAGATACCTTTTGTTTTCAGTTGCATTTTTACACTTTTCTGCAATTTTGCAGAAAATGGGACAATTCACTTAAACTTGAAGGCAACTATCTTTCCATTATCACTGTAAAAAAAGATAACATGCAGTTCATTAAGGTTTCACCGTGAGAAGTGTGCTTAGTTTCCAAGCATAGTGAAAAGCTCATTTGCTGAACCTCATTTCTTTGGATGCTCCCAAGTTCTGAAAATTCATAGTGGTCATTTATGGTTAGATGTTTTCCTTTAGGACTTCATCTGTCTGGGAAGCAATAGTATGAAGAACAGTGTGCTGCTACTGTCTATGAAGATGTCATTGGGAGACATTTTAAGCTTTAGTCTGCAGATTAAAAATTGTTGCCTAATCTGTGGGGTTGACACTAAGCAAAAACTCGGGGATTCAGGATTCTGGAAGGTCTGTCACCTTTCTAGCTGCACAGAAATGCTTGCTTCCTCATCCCTGAATCACATTTAACTGTGCTCGTTTGTAATCTATGTATATACAGTTTGTAAAATCTGGACTGTCCACAGTACTGATGGAATTTGAATTTATTCCTTTGTGAAGTGATTGTAGTTGGGAATATTCTATACATTAGATTACTAAGTTGATATTTTTCTAATGGGTGTTTACTTTAAAAGTTAATAGATAGATTGATAGAAGTGATGTCATGTTGCCTGAATACCCTCGAAGGCATTTATGAAATATAATGTACACATTTATTTAAATTCAATTAAAAGCCAGGTTATCAAAAATATTGTTTTTATTACTGAAGTGAAGGATGTAAATTAAGTTTATAGTATTGTGTCATTTGCATAAATTATTCCCTTTTGCGGATATTGAGCTACTTTGGTGCAAGAATTGAGTTTTTAGCATAGAATCAAAGAACCTGGCCCTAATCCAAGGAAATTTAGTGACACTTGTAAGTCTCGGTAGGTCAACCTAGCAATGACTCATCTCTTATTTTTCATGTTGGCTAAATGGGAAAGGAATAATTATTATAGAAGAAGACTAAATATAACCAAATGTAGAATAGATAGCTGAAGCAGCCAACACACACTGATATACACTTTCTCAGCTAAAGGACATTCAATTATGCTTACCAGTAACTGTGAACCAGATGTGGTTAAAGCTGGTAAATACCTGGGGGTGGGTGATTGCATTGTGTGATTAGCTGACTTTGTGTTTCCAAGAGAAATTATCTAGTGCTAGGGAAGGAGAGGGAGACTAAGATAATGAGTATAATGTCAACAAAGAATTATCTGAAGACATTGGAAGGACACTTCTCGCATGGAAGCTGAATTAATAACAAGCTTAACTCATGACAGTGTAATAGAAAAATAAATTGGATCATAAAGTCATATTGTGTGGAAGCTACTTAACTGCATTCACATGTGTGATTAGGTGTTGGAAAGTTGGCAGCAATTTGCTGCTTGTGCATGTACTCTTATTCCTTATACAGAATAGATAATAACTTCAGCAGATAATGCATTTTAGTCAGACTTTCTTATACAATGGTCCACCAGTGGGGTTCTGCTGTTGTGCTGGAATTTCTGTTTCCTATGCTCCCCCTGTGTGCCCCTAATATCTCCTCAGCTGATTTTGAGAGCATGTGGGAACTAAAGTTCTGTTGCGTGCATGGGAGTCTGTTGTGCCAGTGGAGCTGCTGCATTGGAATATGGCCCACATAATTTTTTTATTTTTTATTTACTAGGGACATGGTTTTGGCTAGAGATTTCTGTAGACAGTTTATCCAAAAGTTTAAGATCTACAAGGCATAGTACAGGTAGGAAAAGGAGAATGTAAAATTTCATTGAAGGAAATTTATTAGAATGGGTGCATTTTAGTAGCTTTTTAAAACAATGGAAAAGTATAAACAGCAGATATCTACTGAGCACAGAAAGTACATGGTATAAAATGTTTCTGTAAGTAACTTGATGATAAATTTAAAAGAAAATGGATTGACCAGTGTCTTATAAAGCTATAATTAATCTGTACACTCCAACCTTTTGGGGCTGATGAACACATCTGGAATTTTGAAGTGCTGTGGGCACCAGTCAGAAATGGCAGCTGTGAGTGCATGGTACAACACAAAATGGCTGCCACATCTAAAAGAGTAGAAAAAGAGATAGGATCACAAAAAGTGGGCTTACTCCCATCAGCCCCCTCCAAATCAGCCACTTTGCTTTCTTGCATTTCCTTTTCATTGGGATGGTTTTCGTTGCTGCCTCCTGTACAATGTTACGAGCCTCCATCCATAGTTCTTAAGGCACTCTGTCCACCAAATCTAAATCCTTAAACCTGTTCCTCACTTCCACTGTGTATTCATAAGGGATTTGATTTAGATTGTATCTTACCGGCCCAGTGGTTTTTCCTACTTTCTTCAGTTTAAGCTTGAATTTTGCTGTAAGAAGCTGATGATCTGAGCCACAGTCAGCTCCAGGTCTTGTTTTTGCTGACTGTATAGAGCTTCTCCATCTTTGGCTGCAGAGAATATAATCAGTCTGATTTCGATGCTGCCCATCTGGTGATATCCATGTGTAGAGTCGTCTCTTGTGTTGTTGGAAAAGAGTGTTTGTGATGACCAGTTTGTTCTCTTGGCAGAACTCTATTAGCCTTTGCCCTGCTTCGTTTTGAACTCTTCATTTAATTCTGACATCTGCCTGGTTTTCTCTCCCTTCCCAACAATCACCGTAATCTGTGGGCACTGACCACCCTTAGCCCTAGCTGAGGTTGACGTGAATTCAGCTGTTTCTCGCGCAGGATCTAGTAACTTCTTTCCTGAGGAGTTTCTGCTATAGGATGCTTAGCCTCTACAAACATAATTATCAACACTAGCTTGCTAGGATCTTAAAATTTGATACCTTAACACAGGAAGCTTATCTCAGTCTCTTTTTCTCTGTAGTTGTGGTAAATACGTCATACTTTCTCTTGATTACTTTTGAAAGGTTAATATCCTGGCATGCTATCTTCAAAGCTTCAAGAATATTCAAAGCTATTGAATATTGATGGTCCAAGTTTACATATTCAGTGCAGGCTATTCTCTTGGGCCAAGCCAGATAGGACCTCAAGTGCTTCTTTATATTTAATGTGCAGGTTTTTAAAAGCACAAATAGCATTAGTTGAAGGGGTGATAATTATTGTGTTTACAGCAAGCTGATAGGGGGAATTTAACTCTTTATTCCCTTGCTGTGTGCCTGAGAAAGTCCATTATCTGAAGCTGGTATTTGCATGGCCAGAAAATCCCCCCCATTGCTGCTAAAATGAGGGATTTTCCTGAGGATTTCAGCAGGGGAAGAATGGGTTAAATCATTCCTCCCAGCTGCTGTAATCTCAATAATTACCAACTCCCCCCACCTGACATTAGCATTTCTAAAAACCTGCCTATTAAATGCAAATCCAATATTAAAGTCAAGCAATAAACTCTCTGTTCTAAGTATAATGCCTTAATTATTGTTGTCTTCAAACTTGGAAAGATAGCTAAATGCCTCTCTGAATTTTTGTGGTGATTTAAATAGTATGACAGCCCCTTTAATGTGGTAATGCCTCTATTTTTCCCTTACAGACCTGTGTGGAAGCAGTAGCACAAATATTTCTAAATGAATAATCGAAAGGAAGACATGGAAATTGCCTCCCATTATCGTCATCTCCTTCAAGAACTCAATGAACAAAGACAGCATGGCATCCTCTGTGATGTTTGCATTATAGTGGAGGGAAAGATTTTCAAGGCTCACAAAAACATTTTACTTGGGAGCAGTCGCTACTTCAAGACACTGTACTGCCAGGTGCAGAAGACTTCTGACCAGGCAACGGTCACTCATTTAGATATTGTAACAGCCCAGGGGTTTAAAGCAATCATTGACTTCATGTACTCTGCACACCTTGCATTGACCAGCAGGAATGTTATTGAGGTGATGTCAGCTGCTAGTTATCTCCAGATGACTGATATTGTTCAAGCTTGTCACAATTTCATAAAGGCTGCTCTTGACATAAGCATTAAGTCTGATGCATCAGATGATTTTATTGATTATGAACTTGGAGCAACCTCCAGCAGTAGTACAGATGCTTTGATTTCAGCAGTGGTGGCTGGTAGGAGCATATCTCCCTGGCTAGCTCGGCGGACAAGTCCTGCAAACTCCTCTGGTGATTCAGCCATTGCTAGTTGTCATGAAGGAGGAAGCACATATGGAAAAGAGGATCAAGAACAAAAAATGGATAGTCATGATGACATTTCATCCCAATCTCTGTGGTCTAGTGATATGGGGTATGGATCCTTGCGTATCAAAGAGGAACAGAGCTCTCCATCTCATTATGGAGGAAATGAGTTGCAGTCTGCCAAAGAGAGTACAATGCAGAATACTTTTTCAGAACAAGGCGCTGCAGATGGATGGCAGCCTACTGGGCGCAGAAAGAACAGAAAAAACAAAGATACTGTGCGCCATATTACACAGCAACTGGGAGATCACAGCAGAACAAGCTCCCCAGTACCACCTTTTCTATCTGCCCAAGGATGGCCATACAGTAGTCGTGAAACAAGTAAGATTTTTTTTCTTTCTGTCTCTGTAGAATCATATCATGTGATATGTATAATCATTCATGTGAATGCATAATCATTTGTGGCATACTAGTTAAAAGGCCATAAACTTTAATGGTTCGATTACTTGTATAGTAGCATAAAGGAAATGTCTTGCTTTTCACTTGAGATCCAGCTCCGAGGGCCTTCTGGCAGTTCCCTCATTGCAAGAAGTGAGAGTACAGGGAACCAGACAGGGGGCCTTCTCGGTAGCCGCACCCGCCCTGTGGAATGCTCCCATCAGATGCTAAGTAAATAACAACTATTTTACTTGTAGAAGACATCTGAAGGCAGCCCCTCCCAAGCTGCTATATATCTCAATGCCAGTAACTGAATTTATTAATGAAAACTTGTGAAAAATAATTATATTTGGCCTTAAATAGATAAATTAACAAGAGAAACACAAATATTTCTGCACCAGAAAAAAAGCTTTTAAAAGCTACATAACATGTTCTCTAAAGTAGCAGTGCTACGAAGTATCTTTGAAAATGGAAATCCATTTATGTAAAATAATGAACACATTTCCTGTTATATGGTAGTCAACATCTCAGTTTCTTGAAGATTTTATTCAAATTCTGTGTATTGTACTTGTGTCTTTATGCAGCAGTGCCATCTTGGGAAACTTTCAAGCTTAAAAATGTTGTTTCATATACAACATGAAGCATAACCATGTAAATTATGTGTTAAATGTTTTCCTGTGGCTTTACACTGGCTCTTAGAAAATAAAATGGTTACTTACCGGAATGCTTTCTTCCAGTGTGAATTTTGAAAAAGGTAGATGTAACTCCTTTGGTAACTGTCCGGGGTTGTGTGTAGTCAGTGCAACATGGGTTCTTTTAATGATGAATGAGTTGGCACTTCAAAAACATAATGAAAACAGGACACAGCCAGGAAGGTGTAATTTTATTTAAAAGTGCATGCAAGTTTTTATCTTGAACATTTTATTCCTTCTGATAATAGCTGTATGTGTGTAATTCCAATACAACAACAATTCAGCTCCTCTTGCTCTGAATTTATTACTTTAATCATGACCGAAGCTTTTCAAAGGCTTCCTCATCTTTTCATCACAGAAAATATTCTAGATCATTCTCCTCTAAGTTGGTAAAGGTAAAGGGACCCCTGACCATTAGGTCCAGTTGTGGCCGACTCTGGGGTTGCGATGCTCATCTCACTTTGTTAGCCGAGGGAGCTGGCGTACAGCTTCCGGGTCATGTGGCCAGCATGACTAAGCCGCTTCTGGCGAAACCAGAGCAGTGCACCGAAACACCATTTACCTTCCCGCTGGATCAGTACCTATTTATCTACTTGCACTTTGACATGCTTTCAAACTGCTAGGTTGGCAGGAGCAGGGACCGAGCAACGGGAACTCACCCCGTTGCGGGGATTCAAACCACCGACCTTCTGATCGGCAAGTCCTAGGCTCTGTGGTTTAACCCACAGCGCCACCCGGGTCCCTCTAAGTTGGTTAGAATAGTACAAATGCCACCAAGAGAGGCCTTCAGATGGGGGTTGCCATATTCCAGACGGTGAAAATCCAAACAGAAAGGTTGTTGAGCTTTTCCACCTGGACACTCCTGCCAACTGCTGGCAACTGCAGTATTCCTTATATCTCCAGGCAATTCCAGACATATGGCAACCCTAGTTAGATTTCCAGCTGGCCAGTGGAAGAATCACACAGGGATTATTTCTTCTGTATCAGTTGAAAGGGACTGCTATAATAGTCAAGAATACTTTCATGTGATTGCTTCCCTACAGAACTATGTTCAAGAGAAGTGCTGTTCCAATCTACTTAATCCAGATTTTGCTAGTTCATTGACAGTGGTCAGGGATACTTTTGGCCATTTTATGCCGGTACATCAGTTGTATTCTTGTTAAGTTGTGGGTGAACATATCAGCTCACACAGCGATTCTTCAAACAGCTCTTGTTTATTCATAGGCCAGAACAGAACTGAACAGCAAGCAGCTCAGCCGGCCTGCTTTTATAGGCAGCCAGCTGTCAACACTGTAGCAACAACAACCCAGGGTTTCCCGCCTAAAGTAACTGACGTGGACCTGAGTGAAACGTATATACACAATACTCCTGGTGGCCAGGGTGAGAACTTCAATACATAACACCCCTCCCCACCGAGATAAGGCATTAGTTACAATCATAGTGGTTCCATTACATACAGCAATACCCTTATTGGTTTCAGTATGGCACATAAGCATATTAATTGACCCTATTCACCATACAGCTTTACATGTACAGTTTGTCCAGTGAACATAATCTTTTAAATACGCTGGGCGCTTGGAAACCCTGCTGGATCGCCGAGGGCCAGTACCAGAGTGGGCGGAGAGTTCAGCAGCTTCTGAAGCCACAGCCTCCTCAATGGCTTTCTGCAGCGTGAGGTCTGGCTTGGTGAGGAGACGCCGTTGCAGACGGATGTCCCGGACCCCGCAGATGATTCGATCCATCAGGGCATCGTCTAAGTCTCAGAACTCGCAGTGCATTACAGCCTGTCGGAGGGCGGCGGTGTAGTTCTTAATTGACTCCCCCTCTGCCTGGTTCTGGTGGTAGAACGCATGGCGGGTAGCAATCTTGGATGGCTTTGGCGCATAGTGGTTGCGGAGCTTCTCTTGAATCGTGTCCCATGGCTCTGCCTGGACTGCTAGAGGCGCAACCAATGCTCGGGCCGTCGCAAACACTTCAGGGCCACAAGGCTGAGGAAGAGCTCAAGTTCATCTTATTTCCCATGCTCTCTGCATTAGTATAGAGACAACTGAACATCATTCTTGGGGATATATGAGTAAGGATAATGTTAGCTGCTGTTATTGTTGTTACCTCTCCATGATTATTTTAACTGGCCTATATTTTTTAATTTGTTTTTTATTGGTGGGTACCTTTGGTGGTTCTAGCTTTCTTATATCAGTTTAGATTGGTGCTTTATTGTGGTGTAAGCTTCCTTCAGGGAGCTGGGCCCCAAAAGGCAACCATATAAAAATATATAAATAAATTAAGAAGCACGGAAAAAGACATTGTTTTCGTTGGTCTCCTTAACAAAATTTGTAAGCCAATGTATAGTGCAGATTTTTTTCATATCAGTAGTTGAGAATGAAATGAAGGCTTTAGCTGGCTTATTTTTAATCTTTTCAGTCTGCTTTTCAGTGCTAATATAGGCAGAAAACTATCTTTCTAAATTATTGTTATGCATGAAAACAAGGATTTTTTTGAATTGCTGAAAGAGTAGCATTATTATTTTCCTATTGGGTCATTCACATATATTAGGGATATAGTTTTATAGGATTAAGTAAATACTAAACCACTGGGCTGTAGGATTTTGTGGCATTAAAGTTTGGCACTGTAGAGGTCAACTACCTTCACAGGAAGAATGGGAAAAGTTGAAATCTGAAGAAGTGTGCATGCACACAAAAGCTTATACCCAGAACAAACTTAGTTGGTCTCTAAGGTGCTACTGGACAATTTTTTATTTATTTCAACTGCGTCAGACCAACACTGCTACCTACCTGAAAGTTGAAATATATTTGTGTGTTCTGCTTTTTTCTGGCATGTTCCTTTCTTTCTTTCCTTTTCTTTGAATACTCAAACAATACCTGATCTATTTATTATTTTAAAAAAGTAGATTGCTTTGGGAATTGACATCTACAAACACTCCCACCTGCACCTTTTTTGAAATGTTTTTGTATCTATAAGCTTATGCAATATTGATTTTCAGATGACATTAGATGGTATCTGACTAAGTCATCACAAGAGTAGATCTACTGAAATCAGAGGACGTCACTTAGTTAAACATCACCCAGGAAGTCTGTGATTGTTAATCCACAAAAAGGAAGACCCTACTTTGGTGTGCCCATGGATGGAAGTTCATATACACGCTGTGTTCCTAGCTGGGATTCCTGGGCAGATTTTAATGTGGATGCAGATGTTCCTTTTGAGCAGGGATTGTGGCTTTACTTTGTTGTCCTGTCACACTGTTAGTATTCAAGGAAGAGTAATGTGAACTGGGCAAAACAAAAAACAAAACAAAAATGTAGTAGTACTAGTCAGGATAGAAAACATACTTTATTTCAGATAAGAAGGTTTATTGAAGTAAACATTTTGTTAGTTTATTTTTAAAAATCAAGCCCTGCACAGGGCTGTATTTTAGCATAATGCAGTTGGCTAATTCTTACCCCACAAACAGAATGCTCCTCTGAATGCCCTTGTCATATGGATGATACATTGGTGATATTATCAAGGGAACATTCTTGGGGCTGATTCGGATGTTATTTAAAGGTTTATTAACCCACTACATGGCTGCCCCTTCCACATACCGAGCCAAATGTGCAAAGCAACATTCTGCCTCCCTCCAACCCGCTGCACACATAGGCCAGAGTGAAATCTCTTGTATATTACACTATTCTCTTTTTAGTTTAAGTTTATATTGCAGTATTAATTTTTGTTTTTAATTTGATGGCACTAAGCAGAAATATAATTTTCAGAATGGCCCATCTTAAAAAGAGAGCTTTATTTTAAGGTTATTAAATCTGAGTTTCCAGTTAATAACTGCCCTGACTCCTTACAGTACCAGATGGAGGAGGGTTTTCAATTCGTATTCCTGCCATGTCTCAGGTACAGCTCCCACAATTTAATTAAGTTTTTCATTTATCTGTGTCAACTTCTATCAGCATTGTATCATAGTTCATGGACTTGCCCTTCTTCATATTGCAGCAGTAAATTTAATCTTGGACAGTACAGTTCTTGGTTCATCAGCTCCATGATGTGGGTGTGGAAGAAGAATGCTGAGGCAGGATAACTAAAAACAATTTTTCTGCCCAACCACCATGATAGGTTGCTGTTTACTATGTACTTGAAAACTGTTTGCCTTCTACCTGCTAAGAAAGGAGGTTGGGAGAATAGTAGTGGGGTGGTTCAGGGATTATTGAATGAAACTGATTTCTTAGATCTGGAATGTGAAATCTCAGGCCTAGAGGCCTCTCTGTTTTGCCCTCAGGTTTCTCCTTAGGCTGTGCCCCTCTATAGGCCACACTTTGATTGAGTGCTTTTGTCTGGTTCAGTGTGTTTGTGAACTGTGATAATGCCTCTTGGATACCTGGGAGGAGGGTGGATATCTGGTATATGTGTATGTGTAGAAGCCTCAAACTTTTGCATAGCTGGAATGGAATCTCTTGTAAAAAGGTAGGATTCTCATCCATTGCTCAGCCCATTTTTGCATCTGACCCTGCCTACCACTGCTATGTGGGTCTTAGAAGGTAGGCCATGAAGGAATATGGATCTTGGGCTGAACAAGGTTCTGCTTCCCTAACCTAGATCCTTTAAAAAATTTGGGCCTGGATTCAGTTAGCCTGGCACACTCGTGGCAACCAGTACAAGGACTCCTGCTAGTGCAAGGGGGGCTCCCCCCCCATTACGCCACCACAGCTCCCCGAAATCCTTTCTGGATGGTTAGGAGACTCAGAACTGTGCTTGGAGGGAGGAGTTGAATTGTTCCATTTGGCAAGTAGAAATGCATTCATTAACAGAACAATCAGAAGACCACGATGGGATGTTGGATTCCTCCCTTGTTTCCCAGCCTGGTTCTAGGGCTGAGGTGGCCTTGCTTTCCTGCTGAATGACTGTCACCTCTTGGAACCAGAGCAGGCAAGAGTTTTGTTAGACCTCAGTGACTTTTGGTAATATTGAACATGATGTTATTCTGGTACAGTGGTGCCTCGCAAGACGAAATTAATTCGTTCTGCGAGTTTTGTCGTCTTGTGATTTTTTTCGTCTTGCGAAGCACGGTGCCGGGAAAGTTTTGGAAAAGCTTCAAAAATCACCAAAGTCTTTAAAAACCTCAAAAAAGGCTACCACACCGCATTCTATGAGTTGCTCCTCGAAGTCAAGTCGCAACTGTATTAACGGTGTTAAGAAAAAGGAAACAAACTTGCAAGACGTTTCCGTCTTGCGAAGCAAGCCCATAGGGAAAATCGTCTTGTGAAGCAGCTCAAAAAACAAAAAACCCTTTCGTCTAGCGAGTTTTTTGTCTTGCGAGGCATTCGTCTTGCAAGGTACCACTGTATGTCTGATAGATACGGGGCTTGCCAGCAAAGTTTTATGTTTGTTCTGATCTCTTTTTTTAGGATACAGTGGTGCTGACAAGCTGCTGCTTGTCTCCATGGCATGCAGTTTGCAGGGTTCCAATTTGTTCCAATGCTGTTATAATCTACATGGAAACACTAGGAAACTTTGTCTGGAGATTTGAGCTGGGCAGTCAAATTAGGTGTGCTGATTACATCCAGCTTCTTCTGATTCTAGGAAAGATGATGAGATCCTGACTCATTTTCTAGGTGATTGTAGGATGAGACATGACGATAGTTCAGTTGGTAGATCATGCGACTCTTAATCTTAGGTTTTTGGGTTTGAGCCCCAAGTTGGATAAAAGATTCCTGCACTGGAGGGGGTTAAATTAGATGACCCTCATTGTTCCTTCCAACTCTACAATTCTATGATTCTATGAAACTAATAAAGTGAAACATAAATCGGATGAGATGGATATTCTGTTGGTTAGCAAACTTGATGATGTCAAAATTGTTGCCCAGGCTCTTCTGAATGAGATTGTGCTGAACGAGGTGTGCATGTGTAGCTTGGGAGTGCTTCCAAATCTGACATTACTCCTGGATATCTCTAAGGTGACTGTGGCCAGGATTGTAGGCAAAGCTTTGGCTACATCCAGAGTATAATCTTACAAAATCACTATTGTACAACTTCACTGTCTCACAGTTTGTTTCCAGACCCAGTTCACAGCACTATCTTCTTTGACCTTGAAGCTGTTTGGGGCTAAGCTAACGTTTCTGAAAGATCACCTCCTCCCATTTGAGCCCACCCACCTTCACAGTTATCAGGGGAGACTTGTTTTTTGTTCCTTCTATATCTGATGTGTAACCAGTGGTAGGTGGCAGCACTCAAACTGCCCAGGAGACTTGATTAATTTCCACTCTATCTACAAGGCTAAAACAATTATGTGGGTGTATATTTTGCATTAAAACAATTGTGTGGGTGTACTGGTTCTTGGGGAATCTGATCAATATCTGCTCTGGTATCTTACAACTGTTTAGAAGATTGCTTTTGGTTTTTCTTTCAGATTATTTTGGCGGTGATTTTTTGTTTTGTTTTTCAGAGAGAAGTAGTGTATAGATATTTAAATAAAATAAATGAATAGGGCAAGATGGGTCTAAAACAAGCTTTCTGAGGTTTCTCTATATTCTGTGCATAGTGTGTTGAGACATGCACACTGTTTGAAGCATGTACTAGTCCGTTGTACAGTGGTACCTCGGGTTATATACGCTTCAGGTTACAGACTCCGCTAACCCAGAAATAGTACCTCGGGTTAAGAACTTTGCTTCAGGATGAGAACAGAAATTGTGCTGTGGCAGCAGTGGGAGGCCCCATTAGCTAAAGTGGTGCTTCAGGTTAAGAACAGTTTCAGGTTAAGAACAGACCTCCGGAACGAATTAAGTACTTAACCCGGGGTACCACTGTATTCATAATGTTGTGAAATTGCAATATGTTGTTTGAATAATTGCAACTGAGCAAGTATAAAGGGGGCATTAAGGTTCTGTTTGTCCATAATGATATTGCACTATTGAGTTCTGTTATAGAGTGTCTTCAGCAGCCACATTTCCCCAGATGTTACTGCTACTATTTTAACAGCAAGAGTGTTTATTTTGCAAAATGAGTGCATAACTTTGCAAAAGTGTGTACTGCACAAATACAGTGGTGCCTCGCAAGACGAAATTAATCCGTTCCGCGTCTTGCGGTTTTTTCGTCTTGCGAAGCACGGCTATTAGCGGCTATTAACGGCTTAGCGGCTTTAAGAAAAAGGAAACAAACTCGCAAGAACTCGCAAGACATTTCGTCTTGCGAAGCAAGCCCATAGGAAAATTCGTCTTGCGGAACGACTCAAAAAATGGAAAACCCTTTCGTCTAGCGAGTTTTTCGTCTTGCAAGGCATTCGTCTTGCGGGGCACCACTGTATAGCAACAGTTGTATTATAGCATCAGATGAAGGCATCATAAAACTGGGGAAAAGACAAAGTAATCTCAGCTCCTTCATTTTAAGCAGGCATATTGATTCTGATGCTGTGGAATGATGGATGGAGGAAGTGCTACAAATGTACATGTGGCTGAGAGGACTCTATTTTGATATGTTTACTAATGTTGGGTTTTTCTTCCACTTAGGTGTGGATCTGACAGGGGCAGAATCCAGCAACTCTGACAGCCGAATAGAGAGAGTGGACCTTTATGCAAATGTCGAGGAAGCACTCCTAGGAGGTGAAGCTGGTTATCTCTCTCAGCCTCTTACTCCAGAGAAGGAAGATGCGCTCCAGGCTGTAGCAGTTGCTAATCTGCGAGCAGCCCTTATGAGCAAGAACAGCTTGTTGTCCCTGAAAGCTGACATGCTGGGAGAGGAAAGTTCTCTGCTGTTCGAATACTTACCCAAAGGCACACATTCACTGTCTTGTAAGTTGCTGTTTCTTTGTACACTACTTAAAAGCATTCATAAAGGAGTTATTTAAAAAAAACAGTTCTAGGCACTCTTATTTTGTATCCTTGTATGGTTCATCCCAAAGTAATGCAACCTTAATTATTTTGAGTGCTATGCATGTAGAGTCTTAACAAGGTGATACTTGGGCCTAGCTCCCACAAACAGCAGATAAGTAGAAAAACTATGCCTTAATTATACCATTTCATATTGCAGATGATGGGCTTGCACAATTAAGTGTTGCTCCATACAGAAAAATACCCTGCATGTAGAAGAGTTATAGCCTTGCCTTCCTCCTGAAATATTAGCTTTCTATTCTTAGGTATCTTTTTCATGTGAGGCAGAGTAATTCAGTCATGCAAGATCCTGATCTGAAAAGGTAGCTAGACACAGGTTTTTACTATGTTACCAGCAGATTTGTGACAGGTGGCCCTTGGTCTGTCGAAAGTTGCTGGTCAGATAGTGGCATTTGTAAGTAGATGATAATTGGAATCTGCTCTCTATCAGCCTCATGAAGGGTAATCTTAAATTGGCAAGCATATATACACATGATTTGTAGAGGGGTGAGGTGAGAGGAAAGTGAAATGCAAGAAGAAGAAATAGAAAGCAGAACAGTTGAAAGCAGAACCTGAAAGCAAAACAGACAATGAGGCAACATTGGTGAAGAATTGGTAAGCTAATTCACACATCCCACTGGAGTTTTCTTTAGCTCCCTTGTTGAAGTATGGCCCCCTTAAGATCACTTAGAGTGCTCTGATTGATTGAAATGATCTCCTATTAATTTTGGCATATTAACATTCTGAGCACAGTTATGTCCATTTATTTGTTTTGTGTAGCCACTGATCTACATAGAATGCAGAAGGGCAGTGCTGACAACAAATGACATATATTAAAGCTTGTGCCTTAATAATTTTGTAGTGGTTAAGGTGCCACAAGACTATTTGTTTTTACTTAATAATGTGAATCCATAATCTAGGCTATGAATCTAGGATGGTTGGCAGTTTTTATTGGTGTGTTGCTGCTCATCTTGTTAGCCAACCAAATGCATACTTGTTTACCAAACAGATAGGAAAAGGCATCCCTTTTTAAAGCCTTGTTCCATAATAAATCCTCTTGATATAGGATCAAAAACTAACAGATGGGGCTAAAGACAGAATGAAGATGATTGTGTGTTCAGTATTTTCTAAATGACAGAAACATAAGGTCTTAAGTAAACATCATTTAATTTCTTTCACTATGGTACAAGTTTGGAGGTGGCAAAGAAGACAGTATGTGTGGGCCAAAAACACAGGGTGTTTGTTATCCAGCTAAGTCACACTCAGTCATCAAACAACTTCACTGTATTGATTGTATAGTTGTGCTCCCAGAATTTCACTTCTGCTGAATTGCATGTTCTGCCGTTATCATGGGGAATGGGGAGAGAGATGAGGTAACCTAAATGGGATAGCAAATGCAACTAAGCTTCTAAGCAACTAAGCCCCCCACCAATATATATTCAGCAAGAACTGTTGCCTAGCACAAATAGGGTAAAACTGTCAGTTTTTGTTTTGTAGCTTTGAGACTACCTTGTGGCAGGCAGAATAACACTGTGATCTCGTCTCATTTGAAGTGTTTCTCAAGTGTTTATTGCATCATAGATTCATTGAGTATGCTGAGCAACTTTTTATTTGTATTTCTCTTGCAATCCCAACATTTTAAATGTTTCCTGCTGCTTTGATATGATCACGCAGGAACTTGATGTGGATGGGATGCCATGGCAGTGCTTCAGTTTGTGACACAATGGAAAGCAAAATGTAGAACTTGAACCTTTGACGTAGAAGGGATAAATATATGGGTTTCTTGATATTGGTGCCACAAATAAACTAAGAAGGTATTTGGCACATATTTTTGTTTAATTTTAGAAGAAGAAAAAGTGTTGGGTGGTTTTTATTTTACTGATTCATGGTCTCTGACGAGTACTGTTGCACTCATGTCTTGCATGTGGGTTTTCTATAGACATCTGATTGGCCACTGTGAGCACAGACTTCTAGAATGGATAGATAGGCCCTTGGCCTGATCTAGCAGGGTTCTCTGAATATTCTTGAAAACAGGTAAAACTTAACGCAATGTAGCTTTGGGTGATATCTTGAGTAATGTTTGAGTTTTGCTTATTTGCTCAAATTTAATATGCTGAAATTGAATTGTATATATTTTGATAATTAATCCACTGGAACACATTAAGGTTGCAATCACAAGTAACTAGGAGTAACACAGTGAAACTTGCTTCCAAGTACATATGCAGTGAATTCAAGCTCATCTCTTGTATTTCTTAGATTTATTTTTATTTGTGTATTTTATAGAAACTTTCCAAAACTTTGAAACAGTAAATTAGTACCTCCACTACCCAAAAACATGATTTTTTAAAAAAACGGTCCTTGTAAGAGGGCAATAGAGAGGAGGCTTTGAACTATTTCAAAAATACTTTGCTATTTATCAGGAGAGGTAATCTTTGGAGACTCCTCTCCAGATGTGCCCACCAATTGAGGTACAGTGGGTGGTGACCAGGGAGAGCCTTCTCAGGGATAGCGCCTTGACGGAGTGAGACTTACCTTGCACTTACACTTTTTTGGTGTCAGTTTAATTTCCCAGGCTTTAAAATCTATTTCATCCCCAACTGATTTGATCTGATGCTGCCATTACCTCCTGCATTTAATTTTGCTGTATTGTGTATTTTTTGTAAGTCAGATTCTGTTTGGAAGGCAGTATGTACATTAAAATAAGATTTCCTTACCTCCTCTGGGAGGAGGTCCAACAGTTTTGGGGCTTTTGCAAACAAAAGGCTTGTATTTAGAATAGGTTTCTACTAACTAGGGCAATTAAACACTTGAGGGACTTCAAAATATTAAACTTTAAAGGTGTCATTGTTTTATTTTATAGTGGAATCTGTGTAATGATATTTAGGTATTTATCAGTCATTTTAATAATAATAAAAATATCATTGGGACTTTATGGGAAGTCAGCAGTGGTCCCAGTATTTGATAACATGACATGAAAAAAGCATTATTAAAATAAGCAAATAAATTAAAAGCACCAAAATAAGTTCTTTATATGAGGCTGAAAGTGAAATGTGTCAAATTGCTTTCAAATCAATGTATTTGCAATACACTATTCAAGATTAAAACATGTGGAAATTACATGTCTGGAAACCTTTTGAAATAATATATATAATCTGCTGTGAACCCAAGGAATAGAGTGTAAGACTTGAAACTTTTGTTACTTCATCCTTGCTGAGTGGCTTTTCAGTGGAATGAATAATCTTGTGTATAAATTGGGTGTTTGGATGAATGTGATATGGAATCACTGTTGCTAATCCTTTGGCTCAGATGTGCTCTTAAACATTTTCTCTCTTATTATTTATGATAGCTTTTTGATATGTCTTAAGTTTAGTACCTCATGTTATTTTTTATGTGATCTCAAACTATTTATAGTAGCAACTTATGCATCAGGTTACATGTTACATTTGACCTTAGGTTTTATAAATCAAGTGACAGTCAATGCATAAAAACCTTCAAAAGCTAAAGAAAAATGTTTGTGTTGTGGTCATTTTTCAAAAGTACTTTTTATAGAACATGTTTCTTGCTATACATTAATTTTAACAAGATTTAGAACATATATTTTCTGTTGCTCTGATACTGCTATTTCATTCTATGCCTTCAGTAGGATTGTGTTTCTTTCTTGCTTTTGCAGTTCAGGGTAAAAGTTCTGTATAACCACCATTTATAATCAGAATTTAAATAGTTTTGTGGTGTGTGTATAATGCTATCTGATAGCTTAATGATCACACAATTTATTTTGATACATACACAGTTTTCTAAATAAATTATTGGTAAGAAAAGGTTCAATTAACTAGTTAATCATACTGTAGTACTGGTCTGGTAGCCTCACACAGGTTCAGAGTGTGCCTCACACAGGTTCCTCTGTGTTACTCACCTTATTGCTACCATTTCAAGTCTTGGGATTAGGCTGTTAAGTCTAGTATTTCGTAATAGTCGGTGTTCTATCATGTATGTTTAACTTAAATTCTGCAAATATTTGAAAATAAATTGCTACACTTACTTCACTTTTTGCGTGAATAGTGATGTCTTGTGTCCCCAGCATATTGTACTACAGTGCCCTCAACACAAAAATATACAGTATTTGTACCTTGTGGATTTGATTGTGAGATTATGTTTGAGGCTGTATTTCATTAGTGGTCCCAGAACTCTGTGAATTAACTCAGAAAAAATAAGACTTTTCGTACCATAATGCATTATTTTTGTGGGCTGTGTTTAAGCTGGATGTGTGTTGTTTTTGTATTACTTTCCCAAACAGCAACAATGCTAGTTATGACTAACTTGAACATGCTAGTCATTATTAGAGTCTGATGTGTGCATGGGTCTCCCACTGCTGGCTGCAGCAGAGCTCCATAAATACCTTTTCCAATTGCTAACGAGATGACTTGTTATGACAGTAAGAACAACCTTGTCCTTTTTATGTTTAAAAGAATTTTTTGAAGTTTTAAAGAAATGGCAATGAATTAGTCACATGCAAATAACAGATCATTGTATCTTTTGAAAGTTGTTCTCATTTTTCTGCTGCCTTGTGTTCTTTTTCTTGTTTTGACTTCCTTTAGTGACCATTATGCTGCTGTGTGATATAATTCCCACCACACTTTTGGGTGGGGAGGCTATTTAAAACAGTCAATGGGCCTGGATTCTCTGTGGCACTTCGTTCACTCCCACTGACAGAAGATTAAGCTACAGCTGTTCATTCCCTGCCTTTTGTAAAACCACCAGCTGGTGCTAGTTCATGTGGGTGAGACTCGTTTCCTGTGTTCCTCAGGGTCTGGCACCAACTTGAATCGTTCAAGGGGTGAATGTGATGGCAAAGTGGAAGCATCAACTCCTCATCTGCTGCCTTCATCACACCTTGCCACTCAGAGCCCCACTACCATCATCCCCTCTTCTGGTGAAATATCACCAGATACTGTGAAAAGAGTGATGCCTTCAACTCAGGTAATATTATAGTTATCTGGGGGTAATGCTAGTTTTTAAGTGTTATAAAACTTACGACTGAAATTGTGTCATCTTGCTCAGTTTGCTATTCTTAATGTATCTTAGAATTTTGAATTATTCAAATTTGTAACAGACCTAGGCTATTTGTATTGTCCGTAATGTGGTACTCTCCTTTACCTTTACTGCTTTGTGAAATTCTATCAAAATACAAAAAATGCACAGAGTAATTTGTTCCTTCTGTTCCAAACAGCAGTATGTTTACGGAAATATGTAATACTAACTCTTGCCACACACTTAATGGTTTTGATCTTCAGATCCCTATATTATAGAAATACTTTCCTGAACTTTTTAAAGGAAACATAAAGGCCAGACTAGAATAAATACTTCAGAGTCCTAGCAACCAGAATCAAGCATGTACAGAATTGAGAGCTTCCTAAGGACCATTTATCCACTGTTTAAAAACTTGAGCAATAATTATTCTAAATATCAAAAAGCATGGCAGGAATAATTATTCTTCCTGTAAATGTATCTGGTCTTGTAAAATATATCATATATTATTATTATTTTTAGTTAAACAACTGTTTCCCTGATTTTAAAAAAATGAAAGAAAACTCATCATCACAGACAACTTGATGAAAGTATTCAGTAGTAATTACATCTCCACCCCACCTCAACTAAATCACCCATTATGTCTCATAAGGAAGTACTGTGTAGCATACAAGTAATATTATGCAAATAACTCAAAACTTGAAAATATCCAGTAACTAATCCTTTTAAATTAGACAATACTAAAATGTAGTTAAGGGTGGAAGTGGATAAAGGAAACTGGAGCAGGGTTGGGAACAGTTACACATATTTTTTGGAAATGCCAGAATTTAACAGTTTGGTACTAAGGATCAAAAAATGTTGGTATACAAATTGCCCTTCTGGGTCTCACTTAACAAGGTCTCTCATAACATATCATGGCCTACTTCTTGGCTTCATAGCCTTTCCTTCATGGTAGTGCTTCGAAATAGAAAAGTATATGCTCGCCTGGCACCATCATTCTATATCTTTAGGCACCAAGCAGTAACTTTCCTCTTTAACCAGGTCATAGAATCATAGAATCATAGAGTTGGAATAGACCACAAGGGCCTCGAGTCCAACCCCCTGCCAAGCAGGAAACACCATCAGAGCACTCCTGACATATGGTTGTCAAGCCTCTGCTTAAAGACCTCCAAAGAAGGAGACTCCACCACACTCCTTGGCAGCAAATTCCACTGTCGAACAGCTCTTACTGTCAGGAAGTTCTTCCTAATGTTTAGGTGGAATCTTCTTTCTTGTAGTTTGGATCCATTGCTCCGTGTCCGCTTCTCTGGAGCAGCAGAAAACAACCTTTCTCCCTCCTCTATATGAGGTCTTTTGGCCTCTAACTATCTTTGGCCTCTTAGGGTGGGTGGGGTGTTTTAAATGTATTTTAAATGTATTATTTTAATGCTTTTTCGTGCATCTAAGTAGGTTTTTGTTTGTAAATTGCTTTGAGTTGCCTTTGGCAAGAAAAAGCAACCAATAAATTTAATAAATAATGATGATGATGATGACATGGCATACCTGTGAAGCTCTCATTTCTGTACAGAATCTACTGAACACAGATTTTTTGAGATCATAAAATGAACAAATATACAGATACTTAACAGTTCTTATTAGCAGTTTGGGTATATATTGGTTATATATTTTGAGCATACTTTTAGGTATGAAATGAAACATTGATTTGAGTAACTAAATATTTGTAATGAAGATTTGCAGAAGGAGCAGTATTACAGCAAGTTTTAGTAATTTACAGGTGTTAAAGTACTTGATGTTCTCTGAGTGATCATTAACATAATTGCACTTTTCTTTTGCAGGTCGCCTATGATGGATTTCTAACACTGTGGCAGTTAGATAGTTCTGAAACAGGTAAATGGAAAGAAGGAAGACTGTATATTAATGGTTCAAAGTATAAAGCTTAAAATTTAATTTTTTGCATTTCCTTCTTTTTTAGATATAAATGCATCACAATCTGAAGATGTGGACTTAGTCCACGAGGGTTTGTTCTTGGATTCTTCTGGCCACAAGAGGCTGAGCTGTGCTTTCTGCAGAAGATTTTTTGAATGTGTGGAAAAGCTGAAGGAACACATTAAGCAACACACTTTCCCCATGATTGTCCCTTTTGATGTAGTGGACTACTCTAGGCCAGTACTGGCTAACCTTTCTGAGCACATCTCTCCAGGGCAGTTTGCCCGTTTCCAGTGTCCAAAGTGTCCTGCTAGCTTCACACTAAAATCCAACATGGATCGTCATGAAAAAACAATCCACTTCAACAGGAAGAAGATGCAATGCCCTTGCTGCCTGAAACTGTTCCGAGACAAGACAGACTTAAACCGGCATCTTATGTCTGTGCACTCCAGCGAACGTTCGTTTATGTGTCTTTTTTGTGGCAAGGGCTTTGGTACCCAGAAAAACCTCAGTACTCATATGAAAGTTTGCTATCTGGGTTCTACACAGCCAGTAGCTGAAGAGTTTCTGAATCGTATTGATCAAAATCAGGAATCTGATGATGAGTAAGAAAACTGTTGGGCAATGGAGAGACTGAGATTAAACTCTTAGAAGTGTATTTCTTAGCTACTTTGACTGGGTAGTGCATTCTGCTTTGTCAGCAGTCTCAGTGCTCAGTACAGTGTGAATGGCCAGGTAATGAAAGAAAGTTGTAAACCTCTTTATCCCCAGGTTCTATGGTCAGGATTCAGAGAGACATAAATCTAGGAGATGCTTCAGACTTAAAGAACAAATATAATTTGTTATTCAGCAGTAATAATCTTAAGAGAAAATGTTAGAGAAAACATTTTTGTAGTCTAAACAAGATTATTCTTACAGACAGCATCCCATAGTCCCAGGGTAGTTCTGCCTGAGTTGCAGTGTCTTCTGGGTAGATACTTTTAGATTTTAACAGTAGGTTCAAAAGGTTTTCCATTCATTTTCTCAGCACATTATTTATTAAAAACATTTCTCTACCTCCTCCCCACATTATCTGAATGCAGTATACAGCAATATTAAAATATATATCAAAAATACAGGGAGAAAATGCAACTGAATTAGTAGGACAGAGTTATAATGTACTTGGATCAACCACCAGCAAAGTTCTGGCAGCACAGATGTGGTAGAACATCTGCCTTGCATGCAGAAGGCCTCTGGCTCAATCTGCAGTATCTCTGGGTAGGGCTGGATGAAACCCCTGCCTGAGATCCTGGAGAATTGCTGCTAGTCGGTTTAACTTTAGACAACACTGAGCTAGATGAACCAAAGATGTGACAATGAGAGGCAGTTTCCTGTGTTTTTAAAAGGCATCTTTTAAATGCCTTTTTAAAAAAGCAGGATTCAAGTCACCTGTTGGATTGGTTGCACAATTCAAATATCGGCAAATGAATATCACATTCAAATGATGTGTCATGCAGTGATCAAGAGTAAATGTTTTGTGATATGCAGATTTCCTGTTTGTTGTAGCAGATTAAGAATGCATTATGCCTTTTTTAAAAAAACACAGATATCTCATTTGCATAATTTAGAGAAGCAGGACTTAAAGGAGCATCCCTTTTCTTGACTCCTAGCTTCACACCTGTATATATGAGGATGTATATGAGGGGTGGAATGCTAGAAAGAGTAAAGTGGGGAGACCAAAATCAAAGAACAGCATCCCCTGAAATTAATTTTGATGTCAGGTGATTGATAGGTGTCATCTTTGGCCTGCCCGGGGTCAAGAAGATAGTGATCTGGCCCACTAGCCAAAAGAGGTTCCCCACCCCTGTGCTAAATGGGCCACAATATTTTCAAATTCCTTCACCCTCTGCGAATTGTATGCAGCTGTAATGAGTGTTATGAGTGTTGTAATACAGCTAGATGAAAGTGGATTTGTACAGTTAGCTCCCATAGAATTACTTCAAAAATGTAAAAACAACAACAACCCAATTTCTTTAAAATCCGTTGTTTTTCAATCGGGTAGGCTACACTTCTTTTGAATCCTAGAAATCAGGACAGTATAAATGAGAGACAGCCATGAAAATACCAACTTGTTTTTGGTGTAGCTAAAAGATGGACCTGGGTACAGAACCACCTTCTGATAACAAGCACAAATCATGGGCCATCTAGAGCACACCTAAAACTGAAAACTTGCCAGCAGGTTTTATGATCCAAGGAGAAATGTTTCCCATTAATAGCTGCTTGAGAGGAATATTATATAGAAGCTTGGAGGGGTGTCCAGAAAAGGCCTGAAGACTAATAGTGAATAACTGGTGGGTAGAAAAGGGAAAAGGGATGTGAGTGGCGCTGTCGGTAAAACCTCAGCGCCTAGGACTTGCCGATCGCATGGTCGGCGGTTCAAATCCCCGCGGCGGGGTGCGCTACCGTTGTTCGGTCCCAGCTCCTGCCCACCTAGCAGTTCAAAAGCACCCCTAAGTGCAAGTAGATAAATAGGTACCGCTTTATAGCGGGAAGGTAAATGGCATTTCCGTGTGCTGCGCTGGTGCCGGTTCGCCAGAGCAGCTTCGTCACGCTGGCCACGTGACCCGGAAGTGTCTGCGGACAGCGCTGGCCCCCGGCCTCTAGAGTGAGATGAGCGCACAACCCTAGAGTCTGTCAAGACTGGCCCGTACGGGCGGGGGTACCTTTACCTTTACCTTTTTAGAAAAGGGAAGCCCCCAAAGGAAAAAATGATTTTGAACATTACTTATCTATATATTCCCATTCTCCTTGTGAAAAGAACTACAACTTGCTCCACAATGTCAGATTTTTAGCCTTTAGGCCAAAGGTATTTAGAATTTATTAAGCTAGTTTCCCATCTTTGTGTATCGTTGGAAGCAGGTCTCCTTTAATGGCTGTATAAAAATATTCCAAGGTGCTTCAATATTTTTTTGTTCAGTGTTCAAAAGGAAGGCAGGCATTCATTTCCCGTGATAATAAGAATCCTTTCTTCCTTAGGCTATGTTATTTCCAATTACAATTCTGGAATTTTTCAACTTAAAATTATTGCCTGTTCTCTGCTTGATTATTAGCTTACTGACTTCGCTTTGAACAACTGTAGAGGCCTCTCCCCCTTAATGTTGTTTTTTGTTATGCTGCTGCTGCTGCTGTTGGTTTTGCTTTTCATTTTTTGTTGGTCCTGTAAAAATGTCCTCAAGTAAAATCATTTTTAAAGTACTTATCACACCCTAGTCTTGTTAGGAAGTCCCGCTCTTGGGGAAAGTCGTCATTTTCTTTCTTGCTGCCTGTCAGTCCACGTCTTCCTCTTTTGCTTCTCCTCTTGGAGAACAGACCTACAGATATGTTAAGAACCAAATCCCTATCATTTGTAGAATAGAATATTGAGCAAAAGTATGTGATATGTGCATAGAAACCCCAGTGATTGGTAGAAGTGACTTCTAGTTTCACTTACCTTAGTCTTAGCTTCAGGTGCAAACTGACTACCAAGGAGATAAAGGTAAAGGGTAAAGGGACCCCTGACCATTAGGTCCAGTCGTGACCAACTCTGGGGTTGCATGTTCATCTCGCTCTTATAGGCCAAGAGAGCTGGCGTTTGTCCGCAGACAGCTTTCAGGTCATGTGGCCAGCATGACTAAGCCGCTTCTGGCAAACCAGAGCAGCGCACGGAAACGCCGTTTTACCTTCCCGCCAGAGCGGTACCTATTTATCTCCTTGCATTTTGACGTGCTTTCGAACTGCTAGGTTGGCAGGAACCAAGGAGATAAGTTACTACTAATTCCTCAGAATTGGTTTCTAGAGCTTCCTTAATCTCTCCAGTCCAGAGATTATGTTGGGTGACACTAGAAATACAATTTCTTCCTGGGGGTGGGGGGCAAAAATCCAAAGCCAGTTGGGGGAAAAACTGTATTTGGACCTTTTGCCTTTTGAATAACAAAACCCTTCTAAACTCTCTTGCCATCTCTTTCTTGACTAGCAAAAATTTGTGTTTGGCAGGGCATGAGCGTGCAAGCAAATACTTTTTCTCTTCCAATTAGCACAACTAGCCTGCCATTTTACCGTCTGGCAACTGCTGAATAATTTACTTTGCTCTTTGACAAACAGTAGGTCATGAGAGAAGAAAGCACAGCAGGGCAGACAGAGATCAGCACACAGGAGTTGAGAGGAGAAAAAGGGAAAGCTCTGTGTCTCTGAAGGAATAGCTCTTTTTTATTTGCTTGCATGATGCTTATTTTTTGCTAGTAAGGAGACAATGTACAGTATAAGGTGTTGAGGCTAAAACAGAACAGCTACCCATGAAAGTTTCCTGCGTGTATCCCACTGAATGCAGCACATCTTGGATGTGTGTAAAATGTTCCTAATGGGTAGTTCCTACTAGGATTTAGTGTCCTCAAAAGACTGGGTGGCCATTCCATGTACTCAATCCAGACAGGAGCAGTATCGTAATATTTGCATTATGAACACCACCAACAAAAAAAATCATAAATCCATGAGCTGGCTTTCTGTGGTTCAGTGTTAAACAGTATTAAACAAAACAAAGATACAGAAATAGCAGGTTGCTGCCTTAAGATTCAACATACAGTGGTGCCTCGCAAGACGAAAAGAATCCGTTCCGCGATTCTTTTCGTCTAGCGGTTTTTTCGTCTTGCGAAGCAACCCCATTAGCGGCTAAGCGGATTAGCGCTATTAGCGGCTTAGCGGCTATTAAAGGCTTAGTGGCTTAGAAAAAGGGGGGGAAGCGAGAGAGAAAACGCAAGACTAGCAAGATGTTTCGTCTTGCGAAGCAAGCCCATAGGGAAAATCGTCTTGCGAAGCAACTCAGAAACGGAAAACCCTTTCGTCTAGCGGGTTTTCCGTCTTGCGAGGCATTCATCTTGCGGGGCACCACTGTAGTCTTTACCCAGAATAAAAGACTTCAGGTGGCATCAGAACATAGAAACTTTTGGAAAGTGGCAAACACCATCTTGTCTTAACAGTGCCCTGACTGATGACCATTCAGATACTACATGCTGGATTATGACCCCCTAACAGCCACACACACACCTCGGCCAACTAGTCTTTTTTTAAGCATTAAGCTTGAAGGAAAAAGCTGAAATTCAGAAGCTAGCTGAGTTTTTCATTAATTCTAAGAAGGGTATTATGATACTGTTTCATTTAGATTGACACTACTTGGTTTTGTTGTCATCGTCATTTATTAGTCACTTTTCTCAGAAAAAAGAACTCCAAGTGACTTCCAAAGAACAAGTATAAAAACAGAATAAAACAATCTTAAGTACACAAGTATTATATATGCGCAGATCAAACTCAATCCCTCCCCCACTAAAAGATAAGCGCCTGGGAGATAATGATGGTGCCAGGCATGTCTCCCTGGGGAGAGAATTCTGTAAACGGGGAGCCCACCTTTCTGAAGGCCTGTTCTTACGTGTATAATTAAACTCTGCCTATCTATAGTGAACCAAATAATCACTAGCCATCCTGCTTCCTCTTAAAGACTGTCATGTTACAAACTGAATCCATTGCTTGAATTTATAATGCCGTTTATGAAAAACATTCAGTGTATAGCAGACAGTGTATTGATACAGTAGACTTGTTGATTCATGTTTGATGATTGGTGTGTTCATTTTATACTAGAAGATTGGATGAATTTTTATGATGTATATGATTGTAGGGACTACTCTATTGTAGGCATAGGCAAACTCGGCCCTCCAGACGTTTTGGGACTACAACTCCCATGATCCCTAGCTAACAGGACCAGTGGTCAGGGAAGATGGGAATTGTAGTCCCATTGGAGGGCTGAGTTTGCCTATGCCTGCTCTATTGGAAAGGGTTAGCTAAGAGATTATAGGGGGAAAGTGCTATTTCGCAGCAGTAAATCCAATGAAATTTAGTACATGCTTTGCTCAGTCAGTTAAGCAGGTGTGCATTAAGGGCAGCAGCATAGTGAACATTCCTGCTCCGTTATACATTATAATAAATGTATATTTTAAAACATCTTAACATTTAGTTTTGCTATGGTCCTGATTGTGCAAATCAAATTTAATTCATTAGGGCTGTGCTGTTAGGCCCTCTTGAGGATAAAGGAGGCAATTTTAACTTTCTGAGAGTGGTCATCATGTTGCAAATGAAGTAAAAGTTTATTATTACTAGTAGTAAGAAACTTGCGTGAATAGTAAGACTTCAGTCCTAATCCATTTACCTGAGAATCAGCCCCAATAGTGCTTACTTATGAGTATACATGGTTAAGGTTGTACTTTAAATTGTAATAAAGCTCCAATCTAGTGTGCTACAATTATTCTACCAAAGAGGTTTTCTATTTTTAAAAAGTAAAGCCATAAAAAGTACCTCAGAAACAATACTTGAACTTATAAGAACACTGTATGTTTTGATGACAATAACACTTTTAAGATGCAAAGGTATGCATTTTGTGTGAATGAATGAATGAATATATTTGCAAAGTGAATGATTTCTGAAACCTTTTAAAGGTTAACAGCATTACTTGTAAATAAATGTTCATTATTATGGTGCTATTTACAGAGTGTTGCTCTATCATTATTTTGT